TTTTTTTAAATAATATAATTATATTATTATACAATATTAACAAATAAAATCTAAGTTGTGCACGTTATTTTTTTTTTTTTTTTAAAAAAAAAATTTTCGGTAGGTGGAGTGAACCCGAGGTAGTTATCACGAACCTGCCGCCCTCCACCTAAACCAAACACGAAAGTCAAACATCTCTTTAAAGAAAGCAGAGAAAATTAAAACCAGAATTTGGTTCCTCTCTCTCCACATATTTACGTTTTCTTGCTCTGATTTTGTTACTGTTTATGTTTGATCCCGTGTTTACTCCATGGATGTCCAATTCCGACACAGAAAGTTGATGTCTGTTCCGATCAACAAAACCCTCGCAGATTTCTGCTTTCAAAATTGTAACCAATCCTGTTCTCCATCAATATGTTGGCAATCCTGTTCCGATTTCTGCATCTCTTGCGGTTTTCCTCCCCCGAATCATCCTTCCACCAAACCTCACAAGTTCTTGATCATAACCTTCGCTGTCCTCGCCACCACTTTACTGGCTCTCTGCTTCTTCGTTATCTACGCCAGGTGCTACTCGGGAAGGTCCGGTTCAAGGAGGAGGACGCGGCCGCAGATATTGGAGGTAAGATCGATCCGTGATGATTTTATTGATGAAGATCAGGGGCCCGTGCTTGACCATCCTATATGGTACATCCGGACGGTGGGGTTGCCGCCGGCGGTGATTAGTTCGATTGCGGTGTTTAAGTATAAGAAAGGCGATGGGCTTGTTGAAGGAACAGAGTGCTCTGTTTGCTTGAACGAGTTTCAGGAAGATGAGAACTTGAGGCTTTTGCCGAAGTGCAACCATGCTTTTCACATCCCCTGTATTGATACTTGGCTTACATCACATCTCAATTGTCCTCTGTGTCGAGCCCCGATTGTCTCCAACACGGCCATAGAATCATCACCGGAGGTAAACAGGGAGGAATTAGTTACTGGAGAAGAATCCCAGATCGGAGTTTTGGAGGAAAATGGAGAATCTGACCAGGGAGAACCGGAAGTTGGGAGCTCTGAGGTGAGGGTTAGAACAGAGGAGGCAGAGGAAACCCCCGTTCAAGAAAGAGGGGAAGCGAGTCAACCGATTAGGAGATCGGTTTCTCTAGACTCCATAGCAGCGTCAAAGATCATCCGGGAAATCGCAAATTCCGGTGATCAATTAGTAAAAGAGAGAGAATCAAGAGTGGTGATTGTTCCTAGGAGACTTAGAAGAAGCAGAAAGTTTCTGAGATTGATGGGAAGTTCTTCTGGAAGGACTTTGCAAATTGGTCCAGTTTCGTTGAAGAGATCGAGCTCATACATCGGGACCTTACCGAGATGTAGTAAGAATCATCCTATTGTCCGGAGCCTTTGATGTTGGCCAGAGTTTGCATTTACAGGTGAGACATCGAAAAAACTGGGATGTCTCGAGAAATCTCAGCAAAGCTGAGAGTCTGTGTATGATGTTTTGTTTAAAAATGTACTTCAAATACAATTATCAAAGTTAAATGCTACTGAAATAAGGTCTAGGGTTTGGAGTACTCCTAGGTGTCTTTTTGGGTTTGTATTAAGCCTTGTGTTTTTTTTTTTTAGTTGGTAAAAATCCTCACATGAGAGGGGTTGGAAGAGGGAGTGGAAATGGGGGTTTAAACCCTAGCCAAAAGCGTTTTTATGTCAATAATTTGATTTGGCCAGTTACTCTATTGGGATTACTCATGTTTGTATTAAGTTTTGAAATTTGTTAATTCAACATTTCCGCTATCTACTCGAACAACAATAATTTTATAAAAGCAGCTAGCTTAGGCCAAACATACTCATGGTCATAATCCATGGTTTCGTCATGAAATTTGAAGTCTTGTGGGTGTAAAAAAAAATTTTCTTTTGAAAAAGAAAGATAAGAGCCAACCCAGTCTGACTCAATAAATCAATAATCCGTTTTAGCTGATCTGATGAAGGAATCTGTAACGTTGCAATCTTTGGCTCTTTTAGACATCGTGGCGAGCAGCCAGCACTCTATACAGTCATAACCTCAACCCCACAAAAGCTTAAGCGTCCAGAGACGGTGAATTTCTGTAGGACATTCGTCACATTACATGCAAACAACTAACAAGTCGGCGAGACAACTTCTTGTGACTCTTTATTGCTGACTACTTTCTCCTTGTCTAGACATGTGGCCGTGGCTGGGTTCATGAACCTGTCTTGAGCCTTGACTATATAATCCAGTCTTGTCTCTCATTTTTTCACTATCTCAATCTCCATGGCTGCAGCAACTTCGCCACCTAGGCCTGGCCATTCCCCGGATGGAGCCACATTCATCAAAGCGTTAGCTGAATCAGGTAGCCTCACCTCCGTCCCTTCCAACTACATCTTCACGAATGATCCTCTTGATCAAGCTGTTTCAGATCCAGAGGAATCAATCCCCATCATTGATCTCTCTTCTCTCACCTCTGGCTCTCCTGATCAACGTTCCAAGGCCATCTGTGACCTTGGTAAAGCTTGCCAAGAATGGGGCTTTTTCATGGTATGCCGATGTTTACGTGTATAATATATGGTTAATTTGCTATCACATAATTAACACCATCATCATGCATGTTATGCTGATTTTGATTTTGCAAAAGGTAATCAATCATGGAGTTTCTGAGAGCCTAATTGAGATGATGATGGATTCCTGTCGACAATTTTTCGACTTAACAGAGGAGGAGAAGAAGGAATTTCAAGGAAAGCATGTACTGGATCCAATAAGATGTGGCACCAGCTTCAACCTTTCAGTTGATAAAGTTCTCTTCTGGAGAGATTACCTCAAAGTCTTTGTGCATCCAGAATTCCACTCACCTAATAAGCCTCCCAACTTCAGGTCATCGCTCTTTAATTTCCTACATAATTTAATTAACCCATTAAACATATATATATCACACTGGGCAATGTTAACAAATTACTAAACCAAATTATCATGGCAATTTTTGAGGGTCTAATGTTATAACCCGATTTTATCCAATCAAATTTTAAAATGAAAACAGTAATACAAAACGATGATTCTAACATCTTTTCATTTTTGCAGTGACAATTCTATGGAATATTGCAAAATAATTCATCAGGTGGCTAGGGAATTGCTGAAAGGAATATCAGAGAGCTTGGGATTGGAGGCTTTATATATAGACAAGGCCATGAATCTCGACTTGGGGTTTCAAATTCTCATTGCAAACCTCTATCCGGCATGTCCGGTGCCGGAGCTGGCAATGGGCATTCCCCCTCACTCTGACCACGGCCTCTTGACAATTCTTATACAAAATGGCGTCGACGGCCTTCAACTGCTGCACAAAGGGAAGTGGGTGAATGTGAAAGCCGTTCCCAACTCGTTTCTGGTTAACACCGCTGACCACATTGAGGTAAATCATGGATTCCCTCAGCTTTTTCGAGATTTCACAATCAAATTGTTGATAAAATTTAAATTCAATTCTGTCTTTTTGGATCAGATATTGAGTAATGGGAAGTACAAGAGCGTGATGCATCGGGCGGTGGTTAACAGCGAAGTTGCGAGGATATCTCTTGCCGTTGCCAATGGACCGTCCCTTGATACGGTGGTGAGGCCTGCAGAGGAGCTGGTGGACGACGGAGATAATCAGCCGGCATACGTTGGGATGAAGTACAGGGAATACCTTCAACTACAACAGAGCAACCAGCTTGATGGTAAATCCTGCTTGGACCGAGTAATGGTTTCGTGTAATTAGAAGTAGGCCTGCGGAGCTGCCGCGGCAGTAAACAGGCAATTGCTGTTTCTTTGTCAATGTGTTAAACCCCCCAAGTTAATTCCTCGACTATTATATGAACTTATGAGTTGGTCCCTCAACTAAGAAAATCCCTAATTTGGTCTTAAAGTTCTACAAGTTGCCTCCAAATTGGTCTTTCTATTAAAACTCCAATGACATGCCCGGTCACTTGACAGGAGTAGGATGACATGTCAAATTATTTTGACACATAAGAGTTACAACATGAAAAAATAATGAAATTGCAAGAAAAAAAAAAAAATTAAAATATTCCCTTCTTTCTTTCTTTCTTTTTCCTTTTCCTTCCTCTTTGCCTTTCTCAATTGAACCCAAATGAAAATCTTCTCACTGATTTTCCGATGCCATGAAAGAGGAATTTGGAGGGGAATTGCTCTCTTAAATCCAATTGATTCAAGCATTCTTCTTCTCTTTCTTTGGCAAAGCTTGCATGATCTACCTCGGTTGGTTTGCTAAAAAAACACTAAATCCGTACAGAGGGAACCTAGATCTAGAACCCTTTGTCCCCTTCAACCGAACTTGTACAGCAAATTGGGTTCCTTTTGTGAGTTTTGCACGATTTCTCCTTGTTGTTGTTGTTGTTGAAATTCAAAGCTATGATGAATGATTTATAGAACAATAAAGGTAGAGCCAATTAGGTCTCTAATCTAGTAAATGTAGTTGATTTGCTGCAAACCCTAACCCTTCTTTTTGTGCATGAATCGATCAATTCAATTTTTTTGACATTAGGCTTCCACAATCATCTAGATCATATCTTCAATTTTAGGTTATGAATTTTCAGGGTTTCAAAGTGCCCCAATTTGATTTAGATTCTCTGAGAATTGGACTGAATTTTTCAATTGAGTTCCCTAGAGAACCCCACAATATGGGTTCTTGGGGTTCTTTGAAGAACATTTGTAGCTTATTTTCTAATCTAGGATTTTGGTGTTTTTGACTCTTTATTGATAATCTTTGTCTATTTTTGTTTTTTAGCCAATGTTAATCTCTTTGTTCGATTTATGCATTTTTGGTTGTGATCTAGATTTTTCAGCCTTAGTAATGGAATTTGCAGTGTAAACTGAGGATTAAATTGATGAATTACAAAAATCATTGTTAGAGGCGCTTGATGCTTCAAAGGAAAAGGATTAGGAAAGAAGAAGCTTAAGGGCATTTTAGTCATTTTGGTTTTTAAGTCTATTTTTTTAGTCAAAATTTTCGAATCTGCTTTTCTTTCTAAGTTATTTTCTATATCATTGTACACGTGTTTAATTTAACCACATGTCAGACCTTTATTTTTTTTTTTTTTAAAATAAATTTGTAAAAGGTGGAAATCGAATTGTTATTCAAGGAAAAGGAAAGATGCACTTTACAGGTAATTTAAAATCATTGGGTTAAAGGCACAAGTGCAGACCTTTATCGTTATTTAACAAGTGACGA